TTATTATGGTATCGGTATCGGGGCCAAAAAATGGCATCGGCGCAACTCTAATGAAAATAGAAATGGATGAACGGGTCCCCCCCTTTGGAATGGGGGTCGTTTGGCTTCTTTGTTAGCCTGCAATGCCCCATACCTGTCTATGCCTCTGAAAGGGGGGGCATTAGAGGGAATTGTTGGTCTGGCTGACCAGGCGAGGTCTTCTGTTCTCCTGTAAAGTGTTTAATTGATCATATTCCTGCTCTGATTCATTGGACTGAGACCAAAAACTGGGCTGACTTTTCATAAGTTAAGCTAACCCCTAGCTAGCGGATTTGGTTGCTAGCTAGGTCTTTGCCGCTTCGTGTTAAAGCCTAAACTTTACTGATGTCATTCTAAAATACAACTTCTTGTTTTATCACGAGGAGGGAAAACCTGTGGAGTAAGAAGTCAAAGAGGAACAAATATGCACAAGAAACCCAATAAGAGACTAAACGTATCAGCAAATTAAACTAGAAAAGTAGAATAATTAGATGAACAATTGTGCTACGTTCAGAGCAGAAGCAGCAGGAGCAGCAAAAACGCGCATGATGCTTAATTTTTTATGCTTGTACCAGTTTAGTTCTGACGCGCGGCTGAAGCATCTTTGCTGGTCTAACTGCTTGGTGGGCGGAGCTACCCTATCCTTTCTCTGCCTGGAACAATGGCGGCTATATTAGCTGTGATCAGCGGGTAGAAAGTAGTTAGAATCTAAGTTGAAGTGAGAAAGTCCTCCTGAAAACATGGTCTGTGCAGTCAGTTCATCCAGATTACCATCCTGCCTTCAAAGATTATTTCTCTGTGGGAGCCGCTCAGACCCCCACATACCGGCGCTGCGCTGTCACTGGGAATCCCCAGCAGCAGCTGCCTCAGGCCCGCTCGCCTCTCCAGGGTTTTCCCCTCCTGTTGGTGGCGGCTGGAAGTAGATGTTAGCGTTTTTCAGGTCTGTGCTACAAACTGCAGGCAGCAGGATAATAAAAGCCAACATATTCTGCCGGCAGGTTTCCACATTTGAAGTTAATTTAGGCGTTAATAAACTGTTTCAGAGGAGTGATCATAGCGCTCTGCATCAGCAGTGCTGCGTCTGACTCCCTGCCAGCTCCCAGATCAGCTTCTCTCATTGGTTGATGAGGCGCGTCCAGCAGCTGCTGAAGCGCCTCAGATGCTTAGATGAGCTGCAGGACCTTCTGCTGCACCTTGATGCGCGTCAATCATTGACTTTGCATGTAAACCAGCTGCTTCTGCTGCCAGCAGTCTGAACGTAGCAAAGGTCCCCATGGTTTGTCCAACTGGGCCTGGTTCTGGTTCTGCCAGAGGTTCCTCCCTGTTAACAGGAGCTTTTTCTCTCCACTGTCGCTGTTTTTCTTTGGATTCCCGACAATCATACTGGGCCCTCGGTTTCTCTTGGGTTCCTGCTAGCTAGAGATGTGGAAACGTGATCATCTACTTTCAGGACGAGATGCAGGTAGATGTAGAGAGTTTAAAACAGACGAGATGTTCTGCTCAGATGGACATTCCTTAAGCCGGGCCTTTTAGTTGAGTAACAGAACCAGAACAGAACCTGGTCTAATAACATTTCTGCAGGGAAACGATGTTTGTCTAAACTTTAATCAGATCAAACCGGCCTGTTTCTTGTTTGGTTGATGGAGAGACTGAAACGCTGGAGAACTTACCGCCCTGTCTATGTGGGACCTGTTGGGAGTTCGGTGTCTCTGAAACCGGTCTAATCCTGATTGGCTCTGAGGTCGGTGGTCCAACAGGAGACTCTTATCCTGACAGACCAACCAGAGGATGGAGAAAGAAGCTGTTCTGGCGGTTGGTTCAGCTACGGCCCGTACCATCTGGCTGTTAGGTAGTCCCGCCTGTCGGACCCGGACCGCCCTGTGGTCTGGTCTGCAGGGACCCAGATTTATGGCGAGGTGAACTTAAGGCCGCTGCATCAGTTTTTGTTTTGTATCTGAATGTATTCAAACGGTATTTCATGACTTCTGGATGACGGCCCGCACAGGCGGCGCTAGAACCCTCCAGAATCTTGGCTCATGGTTCAGAGTCCAGCAGCAGATAGCTGGCATGATGTGGCAGCATGGAGAACGCTGCCAGATGTTCCTTGGATGGAAACGTTACGGCGACAAATCGCCGCCGCACTTCTTGGCAGCAGGGTTCTGGTCTGTGTCCCGGTCCAGGTCCGATAAAAGCCAGCGGAGCGCTGAGGTGATGTCAGCGTTATCCAAGAGGAGTCGGCTCTCCGGCTCGCTGCCGGACGCTCCTGGCAGCAGGAAAAAAGAAGCAGATGCAGCTTAGAGCCGTTAGTGGCCCACCTCTAATCGGCTTACCCTGGCGCACTGACAGGTGAGCGGCGCCGCCGCCGGGTCACAGAACCGGTCTCTGGTAAACGCGGCGCACAGGAAGGGAGGACATTTTGGAAATCAACATGAAACCAAAGCAGCTCTTCAGGTTTGGGTCGACAGAAACCAGCAGACTGGATGAAACCGGATCTGAGCTTCTGCTCCTCTCAGCTGAAACGGATCTAAAAGACACATTTCTATCTTACAGTTAGTTTGTTTTAAGGACTAAACTCTGAGAAATCCAGCTGTGTCATTAAACCGTTCTGACTGCAGATGTTCTGGGCTCTGAGGTTCCTCACAGAACGTCTGCTGAGAACATCCTGTCCGTCTCTCCGAGTCACAGCGACCTGCGGCTCAGACGCGGTGTGGCTGGAAAAACATGGCTGCTGCGTGTTTAAAGCGTCACACATGCCCATGGCGATGGAATTGATCAGCAAAGAACCCCGCGGTGCACAGAGAGCAGTTTCTAAAAAATCTTTCAGAGAAATATGTGCAGAAATATCCTCTAATTTGCTTTATTGCTTATTTATTATAAACATTAAACCAACATGTAGATAATTCTCAGATCTGTTCTCTTCATTGACTGATTTAATGAATTATTTAACATCTAACATGTTATATTTGGTAATTGCTGAAAACAGCAGAACAGCAGAGTCTGACTGCAGACTCATTAGCTTCACAGCTTTAGTAGAAGAAAATGTTTTTAGGTCTCTTGGTTTTGGATTTGATGTTCTTTGTAAATCCGACACTTAAACGTTCTGTTCTGCCCATCAGCAGATTATTCAGTGTTTTTTTTCTTTTAATCTTTATTTAAGCAGGTAGGAAAAACAGGAGGTAAACGGCAGCATCTCAGAAAGAACAATCAGGAGTTCACAAATAAAATGTGATCAATAAAAAAACACGTATAACCAATTAATGAAAGTCACTGAGCCTGGTTCTGCTGGAGGTTTCTTCCTGTTCAAAGGGAGTTTTTCCTCTCCACTGTCGCTACAAGCATGCTTAGTGTGAGGGATTGCTGAAGAGTCAATGAGTCGATGCAATCAGCTGGTTTTCCTTAGATAGAAAACTTTGAATCAATCTGACTGGATGATCTGGTTGATCTGGATCTATAAAGTGACCTGAGATGACATGATGTGAATTGGAGCTATAGAAATAAACTGAATAGAATTTAATTAATGTAAAAAAAACATTGATGCTTCCTCAGAAAAACCACCAAACCCTCATGGACGTATTTATGGATTCAACTTTGTTCCATTATTATTGCAATTCTATCCAGAAATGAAACTTGTAAAAACTATTTAATCAAATAAAAATAGTTTTAAGAATAACTTTGATCTTTAAGTTTTCAAATGATCTTTTTTACTAGTTTTATATTTTCAGATTTTCAAATTTCTGTTTTTCCAGATTGAGTTTTACAACAAAAAAAAATCCCATTTTCTCCGCTTCTGGGGGGTGAAGTCTATTTCTATTGGTCTGCAGGACGAAAAGTGAACATTTGTTTTGGTTTTGATTTGAAGGGAATCTAATCTGTATAAAACAGTTAAAATTCAACCTTAAACAAAGTTTTAAAAAATAATAAAAATATTTGTAAAAGTACAATCTAAGAAAACAGCAAAATTTCTCTCGAAACCCTTTTTTTAAAGAATTTATTCAAGGTTTAATTCCTGGATTGCCTTAATGTTTTTTTTTTTGTTTTTTTGGTCTTTGCACCAATCATGGATTATAACTCCATGCAGGTTCAGAGGAAGAACTGTAGTTTTTTTTTTTTTTTTTTTATGTTATAAACATATGAATTGCACTCTTTGCAAATATCAAGTTTTCTAGTCCCCCCCCCCCTTTTTTTATATGTGGGGGGGAGGGCAAATTGACATTTTCCTTCCATCTTTTTTTTTTCTCCCACTAGTTCTTTTCATTCTTCTGTCACTTTTGCAATTTGATAACAGAACATAACAAACAAGTGCAAACAAAACTATACCAAACAATAAAAAAATATGTTTACATAGAAGAAATATAAATGAACAACAAAGCCTGTGGGGGGGTAGATTAATAAAAAAATAATAAAGAGATCAAAATTAGCAATAAGCTCTTTTTGTCGTATATAATAACCATTTTTCCCACGCCTTTACAAAAGCCTCTTCTTTCATTTTCAATTCATACGTAAGTCGTTCTATTGTTTGGATGTCTTCTACAATACGGATCCATCGTTCATCTGTTGGGGTTTCACTTTTAAACCAGTTCTTAGATGTTGTTTTCTTTGCAGCCACAAGGAGAATCTTTAGCAGATATTGGTCTTTTACATGTACAGTATTGTCCAAATATCCCAAGTACAACACAAGACAAGGTCGGAGTATCACATGCGTCAACATCTCCCAGATAGCTGAGTGAATGGCATCCCAGAATGACTGCATTTTCTCACATTTCCAGAAAATGTGTGAATGGTCAGAATCCACGTGGTTACAAAGCCTCCAGCATGTTTGTTGACTTTTCCTTTAGGGTGTCATGAAGTATCTGATCTGGTTCTTCCAAGCAAATTCTCGCCACTGCTGTGACTGTGTTGTAGTTAGGTGAACTTCAAGAACAGTAGTTTTAATAAATAAACCTGATGTTTTCCTGACAGAATTCCCTCCTGTTTGTCTGCAGGTCCAGCAGGATTTGTAAACCAGCATGGAAGCTTCCGGTCCGACGGCCACCGACAAGAAGGAGAGCAAAAGTTCTGCTTTGGATGGAAGCAGCTTCCCAGAAGCTAAAAAGCCGTCGCCGGGCAGCCTGACCAGAGGTAACGTTCAATTGTTCCCGCTGCTCTAAGCAGACGTTCAGCCGGGATGAGGAAGCTTTAGGAATCTGGGTGGTTGATGATCAGAGTCCGACTGAAAGACGGCGGCTGAATCTGAAGAAATGTTCTAATGAGGCCGAAAGACCTTGTTCTGTCCTCCCCAGTGTAAACGTCATGAATTACTTAGAGCCGCCTGGCGTAGCAGTGGACGGAGGGGGGGGGGGGGGGGTCTTTGAAATGTTAACAAGACGCTGCTTGTATGACAGTGTGGCTTTATCTGTGCTTAATGATGGACTTGGTGGCCTGCCACCAGAGGAGCATTAATTGTTTAGGGAGGAGAAACTGGGCCGGTCCGGATGCTGGCGCTGCCACCAAAGGAACCGGCCGTTCTTCAAACAAGAGGAGAAGATGCTGAGACGGCCGTGGCATGAATAATGGATGCTGTCATGACCACGGCGGCTCGGCTACGCTGCCCGGCTCCATCTTTATGACCTCGCTGAAGTCAGAAAGAGTTGGACAGCAAGTCAGGGGGGGGAACCAGAACCAGGACTGGTTGGGCCTCAGAAGTACCGGTGTCATGAATTACTAATTGGGCAAGAGAGACGAGCTGGCGCCGAGTGAAAGTCCACTCTGCCATGGCAGGACTGCCTGAGGCCGTCGGTCCAAATGGGACATTAGATGATCTTCATCTTCTACTCATCATCTTCATCTCCTCTGTTCTGGTTAGAGTCTGGGGGCGGCACAGACGGGCAGCTGGTGCCGATTGATTAGGTGCTTTATGAAATCCAACAATGGAGGAGATCTTCCAGATTCATCAGAGACCTTGTTTGTCCTCTGTTTTGGGGGGGCTTTCTATCTCCAGAGGTCATTGGTGGAGTCCCGCCTGGCTGGGCCCTCGGACGCTCAGGTCAGGTGGTGATCTGGTTCGTATCCCAGCTGGGGGGGGACGAGTTGCCAGTGTGGGTCCTTAGGCAAGACCCTTCCCGCTAACGCCCGCTTTGGGGAGTGGCCGCCTAGTGGTTAACTTGGAATCCAGAGGTTCTGAGTTCAACTACCACAGCCTCCACTGTCGGTCCCTGAGCAAGACCCTTAACCCCACTCTGCTGCCCAGGCCCCGCACAATGGCGGCCCACTGCTCCCCAAGGGGAGGGGTTAGATGCAGAGAGGGGATTTCGTTGCTCTGACGCTGGAAGAAGAAGGAAGAGCTTCGCGGTGAAGAAGTTTCTAACAGCCCCAGAGACCCTCAGGTCTGTTTTTTCTTCTTAGACTTGAGGAATATCACATTATCCGCGTTTATTCAGGGAATTTATTCCAGCTGTCAGGAAAGTGATGCAGGCCGACATGCAGTAGAAGATGTAAAGCCGTTGGCATGAAGCCATCCTTTAATACAGGAACATCCTGGGGAGATGCTAATCTGGGTTTAAGTAACTTGTCTGTTTTGAAAGGAGCTCAGTTTGCTCATGTTTCTCAAGGACATGCCTCATCCTGCTGAATGGGTTTGCCTCCGACCGGCAGCATGATGGCAGCGGGTCTGGCCGACCTGAAGCTTCTGGCAGGAGGCAGTGATGGAGGAGGGAGCTTGTTTTGGGTGTTTTTTCAGAGGCTTGTTAACAGTTGGAAATGAGCGCCCCTATTTGTGTGAAGGCGGGCATCTGTCTCACTGCGTCTCAGCGTGTTTCCGCAGGACAAGCTGGTGCAACATGACTCCCAGGAACTGGGATTTACAAGTCCTGGCTCAGGATTTTCCAAATGTTCGCGATGGGGGCCGCTTCCAGGGGCCGTATCATTGTTTCAAAGGAATACCTGTCCCTGGTGCAGCCTGGCCTCAGACTAACTTTACACCAGATCTTAACCAAATAATCCCACTCTTGAGTTTTTTGAAGTTTTTTGGTGTTTCTACCACTCAATGAACCTTGAATCAAAGCAACACTTATGCGTAAAGTGATTTACTTTATAAGGCTTTCAGAAACTAAATCTGAATTGTCTGCTCTGTTAATGTCTAGCCGTATTGAAGGATGGTCTTTGACTAGGCCATCCTGACCCATGAAGCTGTTGTGGTCCAACCCGATTCGATCTCTGCCTACATGTTTAGGTTGGTTCTCCTGTCAGAAGGTCTCAGGTCTTCTGCAGCCTGTAACAGGTTTTATACCTGCTCTGTCCTGATTGACGGAGCCGTTCTGTCTTCAGTCTTTCCCTTTTACCTAAGAGCCAAAATAAAGTGAGCTGGGATGAAACATGCTTCAATAATCTAGATCAGGAGTGGGCAATTCCAGTATCCTGCTACATTTAGATGTGCTTTTGGTTTGATTCATCAAGTAATTAGATGATTGAGAGGACTCTGGAGGAACGGACTGCATCCTCAGCTCCTCTATGTCGGATGTCTTACAGTGGTTTCCTCTTCCAGATGTGCTTCTCTTCTCAGAAAAATCAGCTGCTGATCAGAAACTCTGAGTTCCTGGGAGACGCCTTCAGGCCACGAAGGTGCTGGAAATCCTCCTCAATCTTTCGAGCTGGAGTCTTAGAGGAACCTGGCCCGTCTCACATTCCCACGGAACAAAAGAGAGAGGAGGGGGGGAACCATAGAGAGGGCGCTGAGCTGAAGAGCAGATTGTTTACATATCAAGACGTTTCCTCCAACTACAGGAAAAGCTGTAATTTGCTTCTCAAGGTTTTACAGTCGAATTTCTCCGTTATGCAGGATAAACCTTTAATTATAGAGCAGGAAGTAGCTGTAATCCAGGGACAGGAGGGGGGGCAGTTCTGCTCATATCTGTACAATACCTGGTGAACAAAGCTGAAGCCACAGAGATGAGGCAAAAATGATGGACAGAACCTAATATTGACCCAAAGGAAAAATGGAGCCTGAGAGATTCATCCATCATAACAATGAGGAACCATGTTTGGTCTGCAGAGCTGCAGCTTTTGACTATTTGCTATTTGACTCCAAGGACAACAATAAAAGACCAGTGCATCACCAAAAACCACGACCTGGAACCGGCCCAACACCAAGAACCACAACCTGGAACCGGCCCAACACCAAGAACCACAACCTGGAACCGGCCCATCACCAAGAACCACAACCTGGAACCAGCCCAACACCAAGAACCACAACCTGAAACAGGCCCAACACCAAGAACCACAACCTGGAACCGGTTCAACACCAAGAACCACAACCTGGAACCGGCCCATCACCAAGAACCACAACCTGGAACCGGCCCAACACCAAGAACCACAACCTGAAACAGGCCCAACACCAAGAACCACAACCTGGAACCGGTTCAACACCAAGAACCACAACCTGAAACCGGCCCAACACCAAGAACCACAACCTGGAACCGGCCCGACACCAAGAACCACAACCTGGAACCGGCCCGACACCAAGAACCACAACCTGGAACCGGCCCGACACCAAGAACCACAATCTGGAACCGGCCCAACAACAAGAACCACAACCTGGAACCGGCCCGACACCATAACCACAACCTGGAACCGGCCCGACACCAAGAACCACAACCTGGAACCGGTCCAACACCAAGAACCACAACCTGGAACCGGCCCAACACCAAGAACCACAATCTGCAACCGGTTCAACACCAAGAACCACAATCTGGAACCGGTTCAACACCAAGAACCACAACCTGGAACCGGCCCAACACCAAGAACCACAACCTGGAACTGGCCCAACACCAAGAACCACAACCTGGAACCGGCCCAACACCAACACCACAACCTGGAACCGGCCCAACACCAAGAACCACAACCTGGAACCGGCCCAACACCAAGAACCACAACCTGGAACCGGTTCAACACCAAGAACCACAACCTGGAACCGGTCCAACACCAAGAACCACAACCTGGAACTGGCCCAACACCAAGAACCACAACCTGGATCCAGTTCAACACCAAGAACCACAACCTGGAACCGGCCCAACACCAAGAACCACAATCTGCAACCGGTTCAACACCAAGAACCACAATCTGGAACCGGTTCAATACCAAGAACCACAACCTGGAACCGGCCCAACACCAAGAACCACAATCTGCAACCGGTTCAACACCAAGAACCACAATCTGGAACCGGTTCAACACCAAGAACCACAACCTGGAACCGGCCCAACACCAAGAACCACAACCTGGAACCGGCCCAACACCAACACCACAACCTGGAACCGGCCCAACACCAAGAACCACAACCTGGAACCGGTTCAACACCAAGAACCACAATCTGGAACCGGTTCAACACCAAGAACCACAACCTGGAACCGGTCCAACACCAAGAACCACAACCTGGAACCGGTTCAAAACCAACACCACAACCTGGAACCGGCTCAACACCAAGAACCACAATCTGGAACCGGTTCAACACCAAGAACCACAACCTGGAACCGTTCGACTCCAAGGAGAACATTCTGGAACCAGTCCTACAACATGGATCACAGACTAAAACTAGTCCAGATCTCTGCAGGTAAAATCCAGAAAGGTTCTGGTCTCTCTACAGGACCCGGCACTTTTAGGTTCTGCTTCTGTCTCTCCTGGTTTTCAGAACCAGCAGCTGTTTGTTTTTTTTAATCTGAGGAATCGTAACAGAACTGAAGCATAGATGGGAAGAACATCCAGAACCCATCCAGAACCACCTCAGGCCTGTGTTCAAATCCGGGATGTATTTCAGTTGAACACCTCTGACTTTAACCGTTTGGTCATCACCATCGTCACCATCATCATCGTCACGTTTTAACCAAGGTCTCCGATTTTTATTTTGGATGAAGACCTCAGAACCCAAAAGGTTCTGCCGGTTTATAATAAGGATCATTTGGAACCGGCATCGGGGACTGGACTGGAGGTCTGCTTGCTGTAGCACAGACCTAAGCTCTGAATCAGAACCGAACCTCGGTTTTAGGGTTACACGTCTTCTGAAGGATTTTCCAGAAAGATGGCGGAGGGACTGGACTCCCCTCAGGCTGTTTGGAGCAGAGTTCTGATCCGGATGCTGGGATAAAAACGGG